ACAGGTCAAACAAGTCACAAGGGAAATAAATACTCTGAACTAAATGAAAATGAAAATATGGTGTATCAAAATCTGTGGGATTCACTTAAACCAGTACTTAACAGGGAAATTTATAGTTCTAAATGCTCATATAAGGAGGAAAAAAAGGCCCTAAAAAAATCAATATTCTAAACTTCCAGGTTAAAAAGTTTAAAAGAACAAATTAAGCCAAAAAAAGCAAATGAGAGGGGAAAAAACAAAGGTAAAAGCAAAAATCAATGAAATAGAAAATAGAAAAATATTAATGAAATAAACTGGTCCTTTGAGAAGATCATTAAAATTATAAACGTATAGCTAGACAGATCCTAAAGATATTAAAAGGACAATTAAAAAATGTTATGAGTTTTATGCCAATAAATCAAAAAAAGATACAATAGACAAATTCACTGAAAGACACTAACTACCAAAGCTTACTTGGGAAGAAATGAGTATGTCTGTATCTATTAAAGAAATTGAATCTGTAGTTAAAATTTTTCTGACAAAGAAAACTCCTTGCTCAGATGGCTTCATTTGTGTATCATACCAAACCTTTAAGAAATAATACCAATTCCACATAAACTCTTGCAAAAAAGAAGATGAGAAAACACTTCCCGACCTATTTTATGAGGCCCTGATACCAAAACTAGAGAAAGATATCACAGAAAACTACAAGATAATTATCCACTTCATGGAGGCAAAAATCCTTAGCAAAATTTTAATATATCAAACCCAATAATGTATTAAATAATGCATAATGACCAAGTAAAATTTATCCTAGGAGCACATTTGTTTAATATTTTAGTATAGGTTATTTAGTAAATAAAATTCACTATTTTAAGATTAAAAAGAAAAATCATAAGAACAGTTCAAAAGACGTAAAAACAAAATCAAAACAAAAACCACCTGACAGAATTCAACATGATTCTTGATGAAAGATCTCACTGATTTAGGGATAGAGGAGAATATTCTCAACCTGATAGTGGGCACCTATAAAAACCCTAGAGCCTAGCCACCCAACTTAATGGTAAAAGACCTAACCCTTCCCACTCCAAGATTGGGAATAAAGTAAGGACGTCTGCTCTTACCATTTCTCAACAAAGTACTGGAGGTCCCAGCTAATACAACCAGGCAAGTAAAAGCAATAAAAGACATATAGATTGGAAAGGAAGAGGTAAAACTGTTCATCACATTGGATATGATTGTACACCTAAGAAAATCCCAAGGAATCTATGAAAAAGGTGCCTGAACTAACTGAATTTAGAAAGTCACAAGGCCAATACGTAAAAATCAAGTTTATTCTATATATTAGCAACAATTGAAAATTGAAATGAAAAAATTCCATCTACTAATCATAAAATAACATGAAATACCTTGGGATAAGTTTAAAAAATATGTGAAAAGCCTGCACAGTGATAACTGAAAAACTTTGTTGACAGAAATCTGAACTAAATTAGTATAAAGTATACCATGTTTATGGATAAGACGCAATATTGTTGTCAATTCTTCCCAAATTAATCAACAGATTTGCTATATTCCCAATCAAAATTTCAGCTGTTTTTTTTAGAAATTGGACATTGTGATTCTAAAACTTAAACAAAGGACTGAGAAAAGCCAAACAGATCTGCAAAATATAAATAAAATGGGAGGCCATATACTGCCTGATTTTAAGACTTTCTATAAATCTACAGCAATCAGGACTGTTTATTGTATCAGCACACAAACAGATCAATGGAACAGAAATAAACCCATACATACTTATCAGTTTATTTTTGACAAAGGCACCAAGGTAATTTAATAAATGCAGAATTCAACATTAACAAATGTTGCTATAATGACTAGATTGACACATGAAAAAAAATGATCTTTGAATTCCCTCGCATGGTAAACTAAAGCTAGTAGAAATAGGTCATAAACTAAAATTTAAAAGATAAAGCTATAAAAATTCTAAAAGAAAGCATAGGAGAAAATCTTTGTGACACAAAGAACATGGATGACACAAAAAACATGACTACAGAAATAATTGATAAATTGAACTTGATCAAAATTAAATATCTTTGCTCTTCAAAAAATACTGTAAACAGAAGTTTAAGAAGAAAAGTTTTTTAAGAGTGGAAGTTAACTAGTTGGTGGTGTTGAGGGCAGTGAGTAGCATGGGGGACAGCAGGAGCTGTGAGGCAGTAGAACAGGATATGTTGGAGGGGTGACCAGGAGGCTGGTGAGGCAGCAGGGGCCAGGTCCTGGAGATTGCGGGAGGCTCCAACATCATTTACCACAGGGCTGTGTTGGAACGAAACTCTCCTGCCCCCCCCCCCGCCCAAACACTTGTCTTGCACAGGCAGGTCTTCCCCAGCTGTGTTCTGCTCCCCACGTTTCCCATCAGTGCGCTCATCCCCTTCCACAACTCAGCTTCACCTGTGCAAGTCTCAAGTCAACTTCACCAGCCTTTCTCCTTGGGGCCAGGCCCATATTTCCAACCCATGATTTGGACCTCGTCCCCTGCAGAACTCTGTGTCCATTGCTTCTCCTGTCCTAAATTCTGCACTTCTCCCATATTCACGGTCTTCCCTAATGGCCAAACATGTCACACTGGGCAGGGTGGAGGCAAGCATGGGCCCTAAGAGTCATCTGGCCTGGACTTAAATTGGAGCTTTCTTTGGAGAATGGAAACTTAGCCATTCTGCCCCTCCTGCCTCCCTCTGCACATCTGCCCTCCCTCCATCTTTGGGACATGGAAATTAAAACCAGAATGAGGTACTACCATGCACCTTCCAACACAGCTAAAATTATAGACTGTATAAGCCACCCATCTTTCAATATTTAAATGTCAGGGCTTCCAAGTGCTTTACATTTCCACTGTTTCCCTTAGGCATCGGCCATTCCTTTAGGCCTAGGCCAGGCGCCTGTTACATGCTCTCAGAGCACTCATGTTTCTCCTTTGCAGCACAGAAAAAGGTCAAATAAATCATTTCTTGTGCATTAGTTTTAGAATGTTTTTCTTTCCTCCTTGTAGGTAAGGTCCATGAGGGCAGGAACCAAGTTCATCTAAGTTAGGGGCTAGCCAACTTTTTCTGAAAAGGGCCAAATAGCATATATTTTCAGCTTTCTGGGCCATAGGGCCTTTGTCACAAGTATTCAACTCTGCCATTGTAGCTGGACAGCAGGGGAGACAATATGTGAATGAACAAGAGTGACCATGATTTGATAAAGTTTTATTTATTAAAACAGGAGGTGGGCCAAGGTCCAGAGTTTGCTGACTCTTGGCCTAGTCACCAGCACCCAGTCTAGCATCTGGCATGTAGAAGGCACTCAAAGGATAAATAAAGAAGAAAAAGCCCTTGGTTTTGGCAATGAGATGGAAACTGGTACACAGGGAGGGTGGTTTTAGTGGAATGGTGGGAGTGGAATGGAGGCAACAGTGGGTTGAAGAGGGAGCAGCAGTTGAGGAAGGAGTGACTTCTCTTCCAAGAGTGCCACCACTGGATGGCAGGCTTGGGGAATGGTATTATCTTAGTAGAGCAGGGTGAAGAGGAGCATGTTTGCAGGCTGTGACAAGAAGGCAGTGCAGGGGAAGAAAGGGAGAACTGCTGAGGAGGGCCCCTCAGAGCTCAGGTGTGTGAGGAGGTGGTCACAAAGGAGGAAAACACCCGCTGTGGCTGAGAAACAAGACACAAAGAAAAGTGGAAGGAAACTGGGGGAAAACCTCATCTTCCTCTTTCCTGTGAAATGTGAGCCAAGACCACCTGGTTAAGAGGGTGGGACTCAGGTGAGGAACTGCAGTATCTGTCAGATTGGGAGGGCCAGCAGATGGGCACGTGGACACCCCGGATAGGACTGTCACTGTCACTGCCGCTGGAGCTACACCCCTCCCTATTCTCTGGCCATCTCTCAGAGACCACTTTTAACCAAGGAGGTGTTTTCGTCTTTCAGAGTGGTTTTCAACTCTGACCCAGTATGAAAGGTGTTCCTCACTGAGTCACGAGCACTACTTGCTATCACTTCCTGCCATTTCTCTTTCCCAGGCAGGTGGCAGTAGGCAGGCCTTGAGGCAGATGAGGTCATGTATTAAACATGTGCTCATACCCAGTTCTTTCTTGAAGGATATCAAAGGGCATTTTAATTTCAGAAAGTTAGTGGTGGTTTCATCTCCATGCCTTCGAATGTAGATGTTGTAAAATATTGGGCAGACTTTTCTCTCAATGGAAGAAACCATTTGATGGGGGGTGCGCAATAAAAATTGCATAGCAGCTATTTAATTTTCTAAGCCTAACACAGTATTAAAACCTATAAAACACAACTTCTCACAGGGTAAGTATTAATATTACAATATTTAAATACCCTGAAAGTTTTCTTATAGGCAAAAACCTATAGCCAGTCAATTTCACTTATCCAAAGAACCAGACACCTGGGAAAAGCTGACAATTTCAACATTAATGTATTAATTCATTATTACTACTAGTGCAGGAATGTATGAGAAGGGTTCAGAGAAGCAATGGACACAGAGTTCTGCAGGGGACGAGGTCCAAATCATGGCCCGGCCCACAGCACTGTCCTGCGCGTCCACATCTCCATTTGCCAGCCCTTCCAGTCTGACGGATACCCCCTACTTCTCAGGAGAAACTAAAACCATCTAAATATCTTTTAGCTGAATGCCTGAAAGAATAGTGTCAGGACCTGCTTTCTTCTGCTTTATTTCAAGATGTAATGCTGTTCATATTTATAGACTCAAGTATGCTCTACTAAGTAAAACTTTCATTATTTTTATTTTGAAGTGTTCCCCTCACACATCAAAAGATAACTTTCCTACAATACACCACTCCTCACTGTACACTTTCAAGTTCTTCCAGAGATGATGAAAACCACCATCTGTGAATGCACTGGAATGTAAAATGGCGACACCTCCCCACTCCCGTAACACATCTTTTAATTTTTGAAGGACTGCAAATACATGTTTAGATATATGTTCAATAAACTTAATCTCTTACCCTATTGTTGGGTTGATGTTTGGATCAAAACTGTCTTCCACGAACCGCCACACGATACTCGATTTACCTACACCTGTATCCTGAAAAAGAAAGAGATGGGTGAATACAAATAAGTTTACCTGCTTGCAGACAAAGAAAACTACTTTGGGCCTTAAGCTCAAGATTTTAGAAAAATCATCTTATATGCTAATTTTTAGAAGTTAAGGGACCCATAAAGAAGGTTTTCATAAACATTCAGTGGGAGTAATTAGATTTCAAAATGTACTGTAGGACAGGGGTTTGCAGTTTTTAAGGACATGAGAACCTTTTGAAAAACCCAAAGTTTCTGCTTAGTGTGAAAAGTGACACACTCACTTTTTAACATGTATAAGTAAACTATGAACTCTTGAATTACTCCTGAGTAACCCCTGATAAATCACAGCCCCGCCCTATTTGGGCAGGGGGAAGACTAGTTATTGGAATCCTTTTCAGTCTTTAAAGCAGCAACTCAGGCAAAAGAGCATGATTTGAAGGAGCAAAGTTGCCCGGACTAGACAAGAAGCAGAAGCTTCCAACTAGTTTTTGGGGCTTCCTGATTTGAACATCCCCCCCAAGAAAGTAACTCTATGAGAAATGTCACAGGGGGCGCCTGGGTAGCTCAGTTGGTTAGGCGACTGCCTTCGGCTCAGGTCATGATCCTGGAGTCCCAGGATCGAGTCCCGCATCGGGCTCCCTGCTCGGCAGGGAGTCTGCTTCTCCCTCTGACCCTCCCCCCTCTCATGTGCTCTCTCTCTCTCATTCTCTCTCTCAAATAAATAAATAAAATCTTTAAAAAAAAAAAAAAGAAATGTCACAGGTATCCCACAAGTTCAAAAACTCCAAACAAATGAGAAAGGAGACAAACTCTGCTCGTAAAACCTTAAGACCTGCCATTGGTTTTACTTTGGAAGACTTGGCCAACTTCTAACTAGTACCTTAGTAGGAAACTATTTAGGAACTGCTCTCAACCTAGATGCAATGGAGAGGCAGGGAAGGCTCTTTACCCTCTGGGGGCGGGAAGAGTCCCTGGACTCCAGGAAGGGACGAGGGGGGAGGGTCCCTCCTGCCAGCAAGACCCTCGGGGGTGGGTGGCAAGGTGGGCAGGATGGCCCGGGGCCGGAGGGAGGGTCCCGGGGTAGGTCCTGCACCGAGGCTGGGGGAAGGGGCGCAGAGGACTTGGGCACGCTTGGGTCCCCGGCCTGCCCGGCCTCCCGCAGTCCACCCGCGGCCCGTCCGCCGCCACTCACCCCCAGCAGACACACTTTGAGCTCCCTCAGCGCCATGGCCCGGGAGCCAGGGGCGCGGGCCCGCCGCCGCCCTAAGTTGAGGAGGGAGAGGCCGGGCCCAGCACGAGCATCCCCCGGCGCCGCCGCCGCAC